AACAAGTAACTTGGTTTGAGAAACCCTTGATGTAATCACTGATCTTTTATTTCAGGATAGTACTTCTATGTAATGTTGGTGCGGAACATTTTTTTCTTTTGTCTGGGTTGAAAACCTTGACAAAATTTTTATCGAGACCCATTGTATAGCACCCCAAACAAGATTTTTATTGAGCCCCATTGTATAGCATGTTATCCTCCATTTTACAATGAATATTGTATTTCTTCAGTTCTTCTATTAAAAAAAAAAAACTCAATTCCTAGGAAGCTTTTAATAGTATTTCTTTCTCACATGTTCAAGGGATGTTATTATTGTTGTTGATGTTTTGGCTAATTAGGTAATTTTACCGCTTGAGAGTTTTTTTTCTCACTAAAAAGTTATTTCACCTTGAATTAAGAAGTAATAAGTGTTTGGAAAAATTAAAAAATGTTGCTTATTTTAAAAGCATGCAATGGTCTCTTAACTATTAACCACAACTTTTAAAAGCATCGTTTTAGTTGATTTTTAACATTGCTTTCGTAATAAGCAGAATACAACATGTCATATATATTTTTAATTATCATTATTACCGCTGTAGTTTTTAAAAATGACATCATCTACTTTTCTCTTTGTGTTTTTCCCGCCACCATCTTCCATCACTTTCCACTGTTAGCACTTCTGCCACCACCACCATCATAATTCCCATCACCATGGCCATCACCTCTCGCCACCATTTTCGGCCCCACCACCAACTCCTTCATCATCACTACTCTTGGCACACCATCGCCGCATCACCCCTCCACTACACTCCATTGTCGTCGTCGCTACCACAACAATCAATATCACAATATTTACCGTATCTTATTCATTTTAGTTATTATGCACACATTAAATGTTTTTATATAAAATTTTACCAAATATACATTGTGACACTGCTTTTTACAAGCTAAACACTTTTAAAATTACGTTTTACCAATTACTTAACTATTCTACTTTACAACTAATGATTCTCAAACCAAACAGAAGCAACTTTTATTCAAGTTACAAAACTAAACCAAATTCGCCCGTAAACCGTTTTTTTGTATTTGGTTTTAATGTTGTTCCTCCTTGTCTAGAGAATGCATTGCACTTTGACTCTGCGTAGAAACATCCAAGGTGAATTAGAGAATGAACTTGCGCGTAAACGGATGACAACCTAATTAATTGTTGAAGATTCATGCTGGATTTGAGGATGGTGATTGAACAAATCTGATTAAGTTCTTAATAAAAAAAATACCATATGGGCACAAACAAAGTGTATGAGAAAATTTTTTATTTTTGTTTTTGAAATAGAAAGAGGGAGGAAGGGAGTGATAGAGAACGTGAGAGTGAGAAGTTTTTTTTTTAATTTTTTAATTTTATTTTATGATTAGAGATATGTTAGGATTATATATATGCGAGGCTTTGAAAAAAAACATCAAAATTTTGTTGTGTGAAATTACATTTCTGCCCCATATTTGTTATTTATGTTTTGTTTTAATTAGAGGGTTAAATTAGTAATTTCATATAGTTTTGGGTTTTGATTTTGGTTGATAATGAGTGTTTTATTAATTAGTACAAATATATCAAACGTACCTAACTCAACCGTAGTGTATTGCACCCTAGGAACAAAAAATTGATCATATGATATGCAAGCCTACATGTATCCCACGTCGTTTAGAATCTTTCGCCCTAATTTGTTTATAAGAAATGATAGCAGTTTTTTTATAGTAATGCAACATTTATTCATAACACATTCGTGTCACCTCTCAAATCGAGGGAGAACTCATCAACACATGTGTATCTCATCTCTATTAGAGAGGTTAGACAAATATGGTATAAAAAATATGGTAATAGTAACATTTTGTGTTTTATTATAATATTAATAATTGATACAAATATCAAAGATGACATTTTGGATAACATTCTAGAGGTGATCAATCCAAAGACACTTCAACAAAATATAAAAGGCCATATTCGTTAAATTAGTTACCATCGTACTGGTGCATTTGATAGTGAGACAGACCTGAGAATAAACGAAGGCACAGGCAGAGCCAAGTATATGGTTCTAGTGGGCTATAGCATACATAGTGTTTTAGTTCTTTAAGGTGCATTTGTTACACCAGAATATTTCGGACTGGACTAGCTTCAAGGACTAAGTTGAACTAGCTCAGAGTATTTCGGACTGAACTAGCTTCAATGACTAAGCTGGACTGGCTTAGACTAGACTAAACTGGACAGACTTAGTGAAGTGTTTGGTGCAGAGCTGAATTAAGAAGCAGGATAATAAACAAATTGAAATATTATATTATTTATTCTATATTTATTAATATTTTATTGTTAATTTATCTTTTTATTATTTTATAGAATCATCTATCTCTCTCTCTCTTTTTTTTTTTTTTTTCCTAGAATCATCTCTCTCACAAAACCTATTTTCCTTCTCCTTCCCCTTTCCCACTTTTTCTATTGTTTCATCATTTTTGTCTAGATTCATCTATCTCCCTCTAACAAATTCTAGAAGGCACGGCAAATCAATTCAAAGATTTCGGTTTTGGTCGAATTGGGGTCTGGGTTCTTGGCGGGGTTGAACCTAGATGAGAAATTGGCCACTTAGGTGGGTTTTTTTTCTGGGTGTTCCGGGACGAATTGGACGACGGCTTGGATGGTTGGACCGATTGGGGACGGTGACTTTCTTCATCTTCCCCTTCTGGTGTTTGTGCTTGGGTATCGGTGGGTTTTGGTTTTGGGTTATGTGTCAGATTTCGTAGATTCAGAGAGAGAGGAGAGAGATAGCTGTTAGCTTTGGAGGTGGCTGCTGGTTTGGGAGGTGGGTGGCTGAGGGTAATTGGGGGACGACCAAGGAGGACCTGTGAGGAAGACGACCGAGAATGACTAGCGAGCAACGCTCTCAAAGACGGGCTTAGCAATCCTGTGATAATTGGGGGTCCTCTCTAAGAACTTTTAGCGAAGGGGTTAGTCGGAGCAAGCACTGGCTAATCCCATTAAACTTAATCCCTATGTTTAACAAACAATGGACTATACTAATAAGTAGTTTAGTCTAATTCAGTAAAACTTAATAAACCCAACCAAACACATCCTAAACTTAAAACTACTAATCATGTAGGCTATTTTATGATTTTTACTTGTCATAGCCTAGCTAGCAAATGAAAAATCTACATACTATGGCTACTTATAAGAAAATAAGAGTTAATAAATCTTAAATAAACTAATTACTTTAATTAATACAGGGCTTTTAGCGAATAAAGAATGTATATTTATTTGAAAGTTTTGAAGACTAGATGCCTAGAAAACATACCGTATCTTTTAGTCTTTGCCAATTGACACACTGCTGTCAATTCCAATTTCCATTCATCCAAACCTTTTTGCTTTTTGAAGGCTAGAAGTCTAGAACAGTAGCCAAGCATTTTGCCAAGGAGCCAGTCATCCACATAGACAAAGACAAAGGCAGAGACAGAGTCAGACGTCTCTTCTTAGTCTGCAAGCGTATTGATTTCTTTGATAATTAGTAGGTTCTTGCCACTTTACTTTCAGTTCATGATCTAACTGCGGGTTTATTTGATTTGTTTATTGTTTGGGTTTTAAGAGTTCATACTTGAAATCTCAATTATTTTGATATTTTCAGTTTACATAATTTGTCTAGCAAGTTCAATAATTTTAGCTTAGTCCATCTACTGTATAATTCTTGATTCCGTCCTTGAACAAATAAACTCTTTCAAGTTTCATGTCTTCAAATCATTTACAACCAAACTCAAAAGATTGAGATGGCTCTCCAAAGTTAAAATAACTTCATCATTGATAATAATGTCAAACAATTCACGAATTGGGTAATCCTTAACCTTGTAATTGTCCGTTAACTTGACCATATTATGGAATTGTATTTGACATTGATTTTAATCATTGTAGTGCATATGCATGTAAACATTTTTTGTGTACGTAATATATAAATTCAAATACAACAAGTAAATCAACTATAATTCTATATAATGAGTTGACACCCACTAACCAAACCCTAATTGATATATATACGTACGATTGTTGATAAAAGTCAATGATAACAATGCAATATTTTCTATTATTCATGGACGATAATGTGATACGAGAGGTGCTATAAGCTATTGGCAATTGACATAATGAAACTTTTGATAATTGTTTTTGTATTTCGTATTTTGGGTGTGATAAGTCAAATGCATTCTCCTCGATCGGCACGTAGGCTTGCAGTTGAAGGTATGCATGCATGTGCTTGGAAGGAATCTGCCTTTGTCATTGGTTGGTTCAAAACCCTAACTATTTTCACAAGGGGCAGCCACTTTATAATATACAAACATATGCGTTTAACTAATTAAAATTTTGGTTAATGAGAACCTAGCTAGGATATTCATTAAGACATGATAGTACTTTTCTCCGAAATCTACATGTCGGTACGTACCTGGGAGCATACATTTTGCTCCATGATTTTCGTCTATGAATGGAGACTAGGGTTAGATTTAATATCAAGGACTAATACATAAATGTGTTTTTAGTGTTTTAATCTCTACTCTTGATATAAAGTGTAAAGATGGGTGACCATAAATATTTAATCACCTAATGGCCTATATAACAAGACTGTATGGGAAGCGTTTTTACTCAAATTTAATGTTAATTTTCATTTTGTGTTCAATTCGGTACCATTTGGTACGCAGACGGGACGGGACGGGACAGGACGGGACGGAACAGAGGTTCCATGTTATGCTTGGTACGCATAGGATGGAACGAGACGGTTGTTCCGTTTTGCGTTTGGAAAGCGCAAGACGGAACGGAACCAAAATGTTAAATGACTAACTTACCCATGTTCCGTCTGTTGTTTGGTACAATGTAAGCATGGGACGGGACGGGACAATTTTTTTTTTTTTTTTTAACACATACTTATCTATGATATATTTTTTACACTAGCACATAATTGAAGTTATGTTATGCCATGGATTCAAATAAAAATAGGAGAGGAAGCTGCAAAAGTGATTTGCAAACACACAAGCCTCTTTAATAATAACAAAAAATTATGTCAGGTTTTAAGAAAGTGACTTAATTTATACAACAATGTTGTGCAATGCAGCTCATTTGCCTCCCATACCATATAATTACATAAACACAAACTGGCATTTCTCAGCTTCCAAAAAAAAAAAAAACTAACTAGCATTTCTCATGAACTAGAGCTGCTGGTCTTTTCTTTGCAAAGGCACTAGTTCTGCTGTCTTCTTCATCATCAATATCATCGTCATCATCGTCATCATCTTTAGCAGCTAGTGTGGACTCCTCCGCAATTTTAGCAGCATTTCTTCTTGCGGCATCCAACATGTAACGTAATTTCCTTTCAAGGGATCATTTGAAGGTACAAACTTGGATGGGCGGGGAGCTGCAACACCTAGTCCAAGCTTGCAAAATTCAATAAAGAGTTCAGCATAAAGTCAATAATGTCTCAATAACAGCCAATATTGGCAACTAAAGATAATTATACTCTCTTAAACCCAAAATAGATAAACAGCATTGCACATCAGTCAATTTTCATGCACAAAGAAAGTTAGCTTTTGAACATCAACGGAAGGATTGACGTCAACAGCATTGCAAAGAACCATATAGTGCTTAGACTCCACAACACTCCATTCATAAGGATTTTCGACCAGATTGTTATGACATCTTTGGCAAAAACAGATACTCTTACCTAAAAGATTACAGAGATACCGCGTTGATGTAAATGTTATTTATCCCCATAAACATATAAAAATCATATAATCGTCAGAGTTATCATGTACCCAAAACAATCTCATTTAAAACAACCTGGGGAGGTTTCAAATTAGTTCGAACTTGAACCCCATTCCTTTCTTGTCTACAAGCCTGCTGCAGATATTCACAACCCAGTTACAAATGACAAATCAATCTTTTAGAACAACATTTCTCTTCTGAGGTCATTAACTACACACACGATTAAGGCATTAAAGCCTGATTCTGACCTTAGAATACCAAATCTTCAGATTAAGGAATTAAAGCCTAATTACAAATTGAATCTAATTAAATTTTGAATCTAATTACAATAACCTTGTGGTGGCTGACTGATTCTTCGATACTGTATATAGACTACAATCACGGGCCTGATCTTCATTAACAAATAAACTATACCCAGACAATCACGGGCCTCTGTGTGTAATATTTATAGAGGAATCACGCTGAAATATATGCTCCTAATTCCTAACCCTAAAATTTGATTTAACACTAAAACCCCCAATTTCTAATTCAATTTTCCAAATTGAATCTAATTACAATACCAAAATCTTCAAATTAAGGCATTAAAGCCTAATTCTGATCTTAGAAAGAAGAAAAATTAAGAATTAAGAAAAGATATATACCTGGGTGAATCTGCAGCCTGTCGCACACGCAAAAGTGGCTCCATAATACGCACCCAACGGTACATTATTGATACGTATAAATTAGTGGACATATTGTAGGCCAAGAGGTAGGTAGTTTACAATTGCCTATTTGCCTACATCCATTCATTCATACCACAAAATGATTCTTATATTGGATGATTGGAGCGCGGCATTAATGCCATAAACTCATCATTAGGGATGGCAACGGTTTGGTTTGGGGACAGAAATGTTATATTCATCTCCATAACCATGAAAATTAACCATACCCATAACTGCAAAATAACCATTGGGGATTATCCATAACCATATCCACTGGGTAACGGATTTTTAATCGGTTATCGGTTATATCCATCTTCGTCAAAAAAAAAGAAAAATTATATTCATCCAATTGATGCACTATAAATTTTAGTAGATACTAATTTTGCCATTAAATAGCCACATCCAATTACAAAAAACATAACAATATATATTTGAAGTTGTTCATGATAAGCCAATATGATAAATTGATCCAATAAAAAAAAAAAGAGGACAAAAACAAATACGAAGGGAAGATAAAACATGTAAACTAAATATATGACAGCAAACAAGAAGACAATTATTGATTTAATTTTGCACAATTCTATGGGCTCATAACATATGTAATAAACTGAAAAACTGACGCTAATTGATAATTTACATGAATCAAATAACATGAAAAAAGAATGAGCTTACAACAATATGCACCAATTTCTTGATAGTGAGACTCTTGAAGATAGATGAATCTGATAAACTTGGAACATTTGATAATTGATATATAAAATGATTCAATGAATTAATGTGGTTGAGTATAACAATAAGAGTATTGAATTGATGAGGTTAATGGTATGTCCCATGTATGATGTTTAGTGCATAATAAAGAGAGTATAGGGTTTGATGCATGCATAATGAATTAGTACTATAGGAATAGGAATAATTGGATACGTTGTGGGCATGATTCCAAGACTTCAAAAGACATAATTGAATAAAATAATATATATATATATATATATATATATCAAATATATATGTAATATTCGGATCGGATTCAAGTACAGATATGGATTGGGTACCCCTATAACCATATCCAAAACCATAACCGAATAAAGTTAATGGTTTTTCCCGATATCCAAACCATACCCGAATTTTCATATCTAAATCCAATCCATTCGGGCAATTATCTACGGTTAACAGGTTTAACGGTTAGAATTGTCATCCCTACTGATCATGCTTCATACTATTCTTTTTCTCCATTTATTGTTTTTTCTTCTGTCTCTTTCCCTCGGAAAAATTAATTTTCCCTCCTCGTCTCTCTATCAACTTGATATATTGTCCTGCATTATTGCTCTAGACACCTGGCAAATGGAAATAACTAATACTTGCTTGAGAAGCCAAAACTGCCACTAAATCCAAGTCCCATCTTTGTCGCTCGATGAAGCCTAACTTTTAACCCTCAAAGTCTCAATAACCTTTTTGAGCTTTTTTTACAAGATGTTGTCGTCGCATATCTTGCATTGCACATCTGACAGTCGTAGTTGTCATTCTACATTCTTGAGTTTCGTTTCCCTAGATTTTATATATAGTCTAAGCAAAATATGTCAGCTATTGTTCGATCTTAATCCAACAATGAAAAATAAAGTACGACATATACAACAAAAAATAAATAACTACCTACCGTTGAATTAAGATCCAATGGTGGTGGGTAACCACAGTTTTCTTAGAAGATTTAGTCTAGGAGAACATGACTACTATACTAAGAGAGAAAGATAAACTCGATTGTCACAATCCATGGTTTAAAAGAGTGCAAAATTTCTCCCCTTTTTAATCACTGAAGAATCATTATAATTAATCACAAACAAAAAAAACATTATTACAATCACGTGATAAGCAAGACAATAAAATAGAGACATATCTTTGATTACAGCCAAAGTTTTTCTCCAACAAAAGATTCAATCTTTAAATTTTTTCAAGTCACTCAATCTTACATCTCAAGCATATACATTGACCTAACCACACACACACACACGCATATACATGGCATTGAAAAATCCATATATAATGACCACAACTATTTCCTAATCTCTCTCTCTCTCTCTCTCTCTCTCTCCTCTCTTCATTTGGAGGCAGGCAGAGGATCATATTGGTAGGCGTACTAAGTTTGTCCTTTTGAGTTTGAGTCGTTGTTCAATGTCATTATTTGGCCCACATGGGTTGTGTTATCCATTTGTGATAGATCTCTATATGCATAGCTTTACTTGCATCCAGCTCACAACACATCCCATGTTACTTGATTGTGTTTGATGACCTGTGTTTATTTTTCCGCTGGCAATTCCAATTCTTCTCCAACTTCAAGTGGTGTTTACACTACTCTAAAAGTAGGTTTCGACAACATTGTGTTCAGACTATTCTTGGCCATTAATTTTTTCAGTTAGCAATCTCTAGCTAGCAGAAAGTCGACCGTCTTCTTCAATGCAATACCTAATTTCTTATATTTACGTTCAAAAAATACTAGTCTAAAACCCATGATTTGGGTTTTAACTGTTTAGCTCGAAATAAAGATTTTGATATGGATATTTGCGTATTATGGGAACAAATATGGGAAACTAAAACTTTTCTATTCAATTTTGGATATGGTTACATAGCCGTTCCTGAAATCTGTCCTGTTCTACATTTTAAAATAATTTTAATCATAATTTTTTTTTGGGTTGATGATGTCAATTTTACGGTTAGGTTCTTGATTGATAGTATTTTTTAACCATATTTTTTGTATGTTGCTTCAAATCATATGAACAAAACGCTTTTTCTTCATTAAGTATGAGAAAACTTGTGATGAAATGGATAAACTTTTAACCAATAAGGAATGTATTACTCGACGAGAATGGTTATAAAATACCATATAATTGATTTGGTGGTGATGAATATAGATATGAATAACTTTCACGGTTATGAGGATAGATGTCGCGCATACGTCCCACAGTGAACCATTGTCATCTCTGAAAGGAATATTGTGCAAAATTCCACATCGAAAAGTAGAACAATAATCTCAGCTTAAAAGTAAGTGATCAACTACTAAAGGCACAAATGAGACATGGGAGTCGAGACAGCAAACCTCTTATACCTAATGGATCTGAATCTGATTCTCTTTTTATTAACCTTTTGGACTTGTTTTGATACTATTTCCTTTATTTCCCCAATGGTTATGATGTTGATTTTGAAGCCCAATTAGAACAGTTCAAAGACCCAAATTTGAAGCCCAAATCGTGACAAGTAGAAGGCCCAAACTAATTTCCTTGTGAGAGAGTATGTATTCCCCTATTCCTTGTGTGAGAAGAAAAACTAAGTTCTAGGAGTAGGAGAATAATTTTGTTGCAGGATTTAGGATTTTCACTTCTTATAGTTTCAGTTTTTGTTGCACAACCTGGTAGAAATCAATACTACGTCAAAATTTTAAAAGAGACAAGACAACAAATTATTATTATTATGAGCCAAACTTATATCTTACTGCTTTCACAACATGACTAGTGTGGAAGTTTTATAACAAAACAAGTGGAATTAGAAACCAATTGTCAATTCTCAATGTGAGATTATTTTTAAACATTCAATTGAAGGCATAATGCATATGTAGGACATTCGTTTTATCACTTGTAAATGCGAGGGTTTACGTGTTGTGCCTACAATTCATAGAGTTTCAATTCATATAAGTTAGGCGTTTTTCTTTGCTCTAAACCACTCGACTATTTTCTACAAACTTTCATGTTTATCCCTGTTTTCTCAGAATTGTGCCTTTTCTCTACAAAGCTTTTCCAATTTATCTGTTATCAATGTTGTTGCTGCTTTGCAAAACCATTTTTCAAGTCTTTAATACACCATTTCAGTTGTTGCTGCACAACCTTGTAGAAATCAATACTACGTCAAAATTCTAAAGAGACATGCTAACAAACTGTTATTATTATCGGCCAAACTTACATCTTACTATTTTTATAACATGACTTGTGTGGAAGTTTTATGACAACATCAGTGAAATTAGAAACCAATTGTCAATTTTCAATATGAGATTATTTTTAAACATTCAATTGAAGGCATAATGCCTACGTAGGACACTCATTTTATCACTTGTAAATGTAAAGGGTGATGTGTTGTGCCTACAATTCATAGAGTTTCAATTCATTTAAGTTAGGCATTTTTCTTTGCTCTAAACCACTCGACTATTTTTGCTCTCTATTTAACCTACCAATTCGCACTACTGATTAAACTGCAATAGTTTCACACTAATTTTTTCCACATACACACAACACATTCGTGCTCATTTTTTACTATGAAGTTGAATAAACTATAAAAGAATTAAAAATAAAATAAAATTACATGTGCAAAACGAGAAAAGATGTACAGAGAAATCGTTATATCCAACTAATCATGTCAATAAGGCAAAAAATCCCATGACAAATTTGCAAGTACAATATCTCAAAAAAGACTAACTTAAAGCTAAAGAGATGCTTATTATCATGACCAAAATTGCAACTCCACAATCCACCCTCACTATTTCTACAAATGGAGAGAAAGATCAAGCTTTTGCTCTTTACCCTTACATTCACCACCAATCCCGGAATTGTGATTCCCATTCGCCATTGATGAATGTTGTGATGAACCTCCTCCACTGAGGCCATTGTATCTTATGCTCCTCTGCCAATTCAAGAAACTTTGCTCATCCTCCTCACACTGATAACCATTCATGTTATTGCTCGGCGACGAGCCATTCCCACCATAATATGCTAAATTCTCAAACTTTGGTACTCCGTTGGATCCGAAACTGTCTGATGAGAACTGATCAGGATTCGCAAAGTATCGGAGATTGGATGCATGGGCAGTTATATAAGGATGCAAGAGGCCTAAGTGATAGTTTGGAGCAAAAACCATGTGGGGTTGTGTGTTATGGGATAGTATTGGGAAATTCATCGAGGAAGCGTAGTCAGAAGCGCGTTTCGCTTTTCTTGCAGCCGTTCTTTCTTTCTTATGAGCGTTTTGGTGCCCTCCCAGTGCTTGAGAACTGTAAAACTTTCTTGAACAAAAGAGGCACGGAAACACTCTGGAGTTTGCGTCTCTATCTTCTTCTGCATTGCTCTCTTGGTGATCAACTTCCGTGACGCCGTTCTCTTCGTCTTCCATGTCTGCACGAAAATTAAAATACGAAGGTGAAAAAATATTTGAAAAGAAGGAAAACCCAAGTGAGAAAATTCAGTAAGGTTGAGGAATCAACCTTGAGAGGCAGTAGAAGAGTTGAAGAAATGGGTAGAGAGTTGAGAAATAAGCGACAGAGAAAACGAAGGAAAATGTGGGATAAGTGTCTTGGAGGTTTGGCGCATGGGGTGTTTTTCTGATCAAAAGTGTTAAATAAGAGAGTTCAGAACCTAACTTCTCAAAGAGTTGGAAAATGTGAAGAGTCTCTGAGTATAATTATTAAAGAGAGTGCTTGACACAGAGGGCTGTATGGGCTTGGGAACACAAGAGATAAGATCATAAGAGAGAGAGAGAGAGAGAGAGAGAGAGAGAGAGAGAGAGAGAGGGATAGAAATTCCATTTCCCAACCCTAATTAATCATCTGTTTATAGTTAACCAATGAATTCTTCTTTCCCAATTATCTGTAATTTAGTGGTTTGGTGGGCAGTAATTAAGTTTGTTGGGTGATTAAGTGATGAGTAAATGAAGGTCGAAGACTAGGAACTACTTCGCTAATCAGGTCCCCTACAGATATGGAAAGACACTGTTGCCCCAATGAAAACCAGTGTGCTAAACCATGCAGCCTGCAACTCTTCAGTGGAGCGAAGCGGAGCGGTTTCTTATCTTGACAAACTGTTTTTGGTAATTAACCAAGTTGACAATTTTAAGAAAACCTAAATTAATCAAAGTCAAGTGAGTGATTAATTTAAGATAGATAGAAAAAATCAATGGAAGTTAGTGTGTCAGACTAGTTAAGGACTTGTTCGATAGTCGTTTTGTAATCGGATATATTGGTGCAATACCTAAGGATACACGTGCCACAGTCTGCAACTCAAGTGAGCAGTTTCTTATCTTCTCATCATGTTTTAACCATTTTGTTTTGTTTTGTTTTTTTTTTTTCTTGAGAGAGAATCGAAGATACATGATTCATGGGACAGTTTCTTATCTTGACAATTGTTTTTTATAACTTTTGAACAAGACATCATTTTGAGGTTTAACCTAATATCTCACATCCTCAGTGTAGATTATCGTTTGTTCAAAAACAAAAACAAGACAGCATTCTAAATTGGTACATAGAGGGAGATTCAAACTTACAGCATCTCCAAAGGAGATATCAAAACTGCCACATAGACATACAATAGTAAAAAAATGACAATAAACTCTCTCCAATTGAGGCTTCAATTTCTTATGTGGCACTGAATCAATTGAAGGCAAATCCTTTTACGGTAGCAGATGTCAAATTTATTAAATAATTTTTAATAGAATATATAATAAATGTTGTTATGTTTTCCAAATATTTAATTGGTTGCCTAAATCATTGGACCTGCAAAAAGATAAAAAATTTATTAGATAACTTAATATATAATATATCGGGTGAACAAAAAATTGTATAAAATATAAAATTGCTACGTAAGTTATCAAATATCATTTGATGTTTAAAATTCCACATGCCATTTGGAGATAATATGCAATGCAAAAAAACCCAGATTAATGAGAGTGAAGTGGCTAACTAATTTAGAGGGGTAGAGAGTGGAAGTCAGATTGTCGGAGGAAGCTCAGCTTACATGATCAGGTTTGTTATCTCCAAAGCCAATGTGGAAGGATTGGGTTCTCTCTCTCTCTCTCTCTCTCTCTCTCTGCAATGCAAATGGGAAAATGGCTTCTTCTTTTCGTCTGCAGCAGAATTTGCAGTAATCCTCTGCGATTCTCTATAAAAGGAGTGATGGGGCTAACGACCGCTACTCTCCTTCCTCCAATTCTCCACCGCCAATCTCAAATCTCATCTCTGTATACACGTGGCACCAACCCAGAGGCTCAAAATATCCAGCACTGAGTCAGAGTTCCATGCCACTTATCTCCGACTCAGAACCCAACGTTTGTTTTCTGTTTTTTTGTCTTCAAAATCAATTTTATAATTCAGCAAAATTCCAAAAAATTCAATCACTTTGTACACTAGAACTGGCTCTTGCGACAACAGAAACAGCAAACCGTCTAGTATGTTTTGGGACATCATATACATTTAGATTTTTGGCCGTTGGATCTTGGTCATTGAATGCGAGTCTAACGGCCAAAATTCCCGGTGTAGAGTAAAATTTCCGTAGAAACTGAAGCCCCGGTGAACCTTTTTGAGGGGAAAAGACGATTTTCGTTTGCAAAATAGTGTGAAATTTACAAGCTTCAGAACAATAATGCCCTTTCTCTGAATAAATGTTGGAAGTGAACAATATAAACTAATTTAAAAAAAAAATCAAGATCGAGAATTATGAACACGACTAGAGAGTAGGGGCCTGTGCTTTTCTTTTTCTTTGTGAGCACATTCGAGGAGTAGGTTGCAGGGAGAATGGCTAGTTGAAAATGCCATCCAGGATTCATGAACAACCAAAACATCTCCGTACAGAGAAAAAGCTCGACGGCCCTGGTTCTGGCTCGGGGTCAGGTTTTCTGCAGGGAAGATGCTTAAAGAAGGCCTTTACTGCTCCCGTCACGCCATCCTCCTTCTCCATAGCCTTGGCAAGTTCGACAGAGCGCTCCTTCACCTGGTGTAATTTATGAGTAAGCTCAGTTTGCACCAAGATAATAAGCCTTCCTAACTATTTCATGAAGATTTCTTACGAGAATCAAACAACTGACAAAGTTAAGGTTTGCTTGTACTTCTACTGAAGTTCCGGAAACTCTAAAATAGAAACCTAGAAACTTGAACATCGAATCTCGCCACTCATGTAAGATGCTGGAGGTAGCATTTTACATGCCTTTCGAATGTATATAGTCTGTTCAATTTTTTGGAAAAAAAAGATTACCCTGGGATCAAGCATGAAACTTATTGCATCAACCAACTTGGGAAGTGAGAACTCATCAACTGCAATGGGTGCAGGGCCCACTCCTCTGGCATGTACTCGCTCTCCCCAGAAAGGTTGGTCTCCAAAGAAAGGAACAATCGTCGTTGGACACTAAAAAGGAAAAACAATGTACGTTGGACACTAAAAAGAAAAACAATGTACGTTTAGGCAAGGGCTAAATCACACGGACTGAAAGTATTCAACCACTAGATAGGTTATCAAACAATTACTGCAGCTTTTAGACCAGCAGCTGTTGTTCCAGCACCTCCGTGATGCACCTGAAGGAAAGGCAGAAAACCATAAGAACCGTTTAAAATCTAAAACTACTCTAGAGCATGTGGAGAAACAAACACTTGAAGACTGGAAATATTAAGAGATCGTTGAATGAAATTTTACAAGTAACAAAGCAACCACCCTAATAATTTCACATCCACTTGGCCATCGGAAAATATTCTCCTATAGATCACAAAAGCATAGTAGAGATAAAGGACCCAGGCTCCCAGCTCAAAGGTGGTGTTTGCCCTCCGATGCCCATTTATCCAACCACAAAAATAGACCCGACCAAATGGTGGTGTTCCCTGTTTCTGTTTCCCCCTTTTCTTCTCAGTTTAAAACGACATAAAGAAAACCACAAAACTAAGGTGTTAAATCTCACCACAGCCTTGCATTGTAAAAACAGCCAGTCATGAGGGCAGTTGTCCAATAAGTATATGAAGTCCTTTGGTTCAGCCACTGAGGAGACACAATTAAGTGAAATAAATCAGTGCATTCCAAAGGGTCAGCTGGATAGGGAAAAACGAGAATAACGGAAAAAGGAGAATAACGGAAACCTCCAAACAACAATGAAATCGTACTAAGTTTGTCGGAATTAACAACTTACATTCCCCTAGGCCACCCCATCCTTTGTTAATGATGCCCCGCTGCCCCGTCTTTTCCAATGCTTCCACGATTATTTGGGTCATTTTTTGGGGCTCTTGAACAGGCTGACACATGGAAGTAGATTCTGGTCACGAAAGCTACATAGGTATGTGCGTAATTACATGTGTGTTTGTGTGTCAGCATGTGTGTATGCACACATCCATGCATGTGCAAATTGTACACATCCATGCATGTGCAAATTGTAAGTGTGTCTGTGACTCTGTTTAAGCAATCAAAGGATGTCTCCGAAGAACACTAGTTTTCTTTTATCCTTGAGATGGTAAATAACTTTGGTTGTATAACTAATCAGATTCATTCTTTTAGCTTGCAGTAGACTAACAACAAATAGCAATCTCAATTATGTACTAAGCGGTTTTAAAGTGAATAAACGGTGTCCTGAGCAAGTCAACTATTCTATCAATTGATGGATAATTATGGAGGCCAACCTCAAGTTTGGACAAAACTCAAACAAGTCCCAAGGCTGCTCAAGTATGCTTTACCATATAGGAAATCTTGCAGAGATAGAAATATGTATATTAAAACAAAACTCACCAAGCTACCAAAGCCAATATATATAGGCTTGTCACCAGCTTCAAGCCACTTCACAAGTAATTCTGGAGGTTCATAATTTGATGCAAGGTCAAGGAAGCAAAACCCCACCACATCAACCTTAGGTCCCCAATCTGCAAACCAAGTATTATTCGGTAAAGACTGACATACAATGGCATACTTTAATAAGATTCAAGCCTTCTTAAGCAAGAATGTTCAATAATAAAAAATGCAGAGATACGTCTGTAAACGGAGTCCAATATACTATCCTAGGCGGCACTATCTACGTTATTGCCACTCAACCTACAGCCACATTTCTGTTGAACTCAACAAGTTTCTCAAAACAATCCTACCTTGTTTACCTGAGGGACTCCAAATGATTATATATGGAAGACTAAAACATGCAATTAAAATATACCTAAAGTACCTTTTGGTTTAGGAACAAGATGGGGGCTCCATATATATCCATATGGCACATCAGAATCAGAGCCTTGCGAACCACTTAAATATGTGACAGGTCTTAGTTTCAATTTTTTCTTGCGAAGATCATTAATCATGTCCCGTATACCAAGCCAGATTAAGGAGTCAACAATTTGGTATGATAGCTGAAAATTTACGTAGGACAGAAAGTTAGAGTTAATTATAAATCAGGAAGTGGAAAATATATATAAAAATAAATAAGGGTTAAAAATCAGAGGACTCACCCTATATCCAGTTGTTTGCTTGACACGGGACAAAGGATGTGGAAATTCACTAGTTGGCCTGGTAGGAAAAGGTAAAACATACACAATACATACTTAAACATTGACAATCATGACAAAACATTGAAAAAATGCAGAAACCCAAACTCCAAAACAATTAAAGCAGTATACAACTCAGTAAGATTCCATTACCCAAACAAGACTTACGTCCATGGCATGGTGAAAAACACATGAATAGGAATTTTTAGCGCCTCCGCCACATGAGTATGCCCTAAAGAAGCATTTGTGTGGTTAGTAGTAAACAAAGCAATGCAATTGTAAGTGGAAATACTTTTTGTGAAATATGACAATAAAATGCAGATGTATCTTAGCAGAAGACAAAGTTTAACTACTTCAGAACACACAAACTCTTTAAAGGGGGGAAAAGGAACATTGTTTTAATACAGAGTTATAAAAATTGGAAAATTATTGCAACCAAATTTCCTACCCTCCATTTCCCAAACACAGAGAGAATTAGTTGCCACACAAAAAATCCAACTTATTTGACCATAAAAAAAAAAAAAGATTTAAATTTTTTACTCAAAATCATTAAGTGTCAAAAGCTAACCATATGCTGGGGGATTTGCTATTATTGCATCCGCTTTAAAGGGAATACCAGAATCCATATCAGCCTCTTTGCAAGCAGGAAGTAAGGAGTATATAATTTCCTTCAACTGATTACGTTGAATAGGAATATCAGAAGGCCCTGATGGCAGGAAGCCTTTATTTTTAACCATATCTGCTCAAAAGACATATAAGTAAACTGGTTATACGGAAATTAATGGGGGAACCATATTAAACTTTGACAAATATTTTAAGATGACCACTAAAGGCAACCAAACAAATCAGCATATAGGGCACTTTGGTACATACAACCAGCAAGGACTTTTGGATCACCGCCTAAAGGGTAAAACTCCAAACCAGCAGTCAAGACAAACTCTTTGAAATTTGAATGAGTAGCTAGTCTTACACGATGGCCATAGTCCTGCAACAAAAATAGTTTCATAAACAAACTTTAACATATGCTTTTAACCATCTTGAATATCCATAAACTCTAAAACACCAATCAAATCTTTAATACAAAATCATAAGAGTTTATACCATATAACCATGCTCTCAAAATGGTTACTATTTTCGACAATTAAATTTCAACAATGGAAAACACTTATATAAGTCTTGAATATGTGAAAAGTGAGAACCTGCAAACGTTTTCCAATTGCAACGAATGGCTGCACATCTCCACGAGTTCCAACAATAAGCATTACTATTTGTATTGGTGGTATGCATTGAAGATCTTCTGTATCAAGATTTTCATCATCGGCAGCTCCAGTAGAAGCAGTTCTGCTACAATCTCCCAGATATTGAGGTTCAACATCGGCTGGAACTTCAAATTCTACGGTTCCATCATCTTTCACCGTAGCTATTCTATTTAACAACTTAAGCTGCACAATTGAATCTTTTGAGTTATAAAACAAAACTCGGATAGCCTTTTACTGTTTATTATATCCAGGATTAGTCAAACATTTGAATAATAGATGCGGATTGGCCACCATGATTTTATCTCAATCTATTACATTGCATCATCTTTTACACATCAACTTTTTTTTGGTCAATATTTTACACATCAAATGTTGAGACCATCAGTGATACACGTAACATTCGAAAATCTTAAGGCTACAGAACTAAAATGATACAAGGAACAAAACAGATATCATCTCTGATAAATCAGACCTTATGGTGCACCGGAATCTTGTCGTCGAAAATCTTTGCGGCATCTTTGGACAACTTGTTCTGATGTCTGGTGGTGTCAGTTTTTGATCTTTCCAACTTAACCGGAATGTTTGATTCTCGTCTCTCAGAGTTTGGTGATATCTCCGCCGGCGGCAATGTTTTCCCTTTAGACAAGTTCCCGCCAGAAATTCCTGAATTGCGTAAAATCCGATTTCATCACCATAAAATCTTACTTAATGTGATTGTCAATTGGAGGCCAAAATCTCCATTACCTAAATTATAGCATTTCTTCTTTATGATTAAGAAAATACATAACATTTGAATTTCCTGAGTACTACAGTACTGAGAATAAACGCAATTTAACTAACTAATTACCAAGAAAAAGCACACAAAATCTAATTAATTATCTTGTATTTTCTCATCAACCAAACAGAATCTAAATTCCGAGTAAAACCGACAAACCTGTAGAGCTACTGCCACCGTGAGATTTGTCCACCGATTTCTCCAATTCTACGCTATTTTCGCTACTAGCGCCGCCAGTTGCATCCTCGATTCTCACCGGAACTTCTCCCGAACTCGCAGAAGAGTCCCGGCGCTTCTCCGGCGGCTCCTCCATAATCGGCACTGATTCCTGACGGGGAGGCTTGTTGCGATGATCAAGATCCGAGGAAGCTTAGGTGAAAAGCGAGCGCAGAGAGTGGCGTAGGGCGTGTTTGGATGGCGAGAAAATTGTGGAAAGATTCGAAAGCGAGAATCCTGCGGTGGCGTCGGTCCGGAAAAAGTGGTGGGTGGGAGAAGGAAGGAAGTGCTCGTAATCGCTGTGTAATTGATTGAGTAGGAGACACGTGCGCACAACCGTTCGGGGGGACCTGTAATTTTTTAACTGCCGCGCTGTTTGTTTACTGTTTAATCTCCGACAAACATTGGATTACAGCTATTTTTACGCTTCTTTTTTACTTGCTAATTACTTGTAATTACAGAGTTACAGTAGTTTAAACTGAAAAGTTACTCTTAAGTCTTACCTTGTTTGGTAACTTGTAGACCGGGACTTACCCTTGTTTGACTGTACGGTTGCTCTGTCGAATTGCAATTTGTCTGAGTTGGGCTTGGACGACAAGATTTTGGGTTCAGTAATTGGGTTAAGCCTACCTTGTTTATACTTGGGTCCAAGAGTAAACTGGATTGAACTAATCTATTGGGGTGATGGCCCAATATAAGCAAGTGGTGGCCTATTCATTAGCCTAAACCCTAATTACATATTTACCAATCAATAATCGTCAAATTTTCTCTAATGCACATTACTATGTGACCCATAACAATAAAAATAAAAATAACAACAATATAATAATAAAACCTTTGTTCCAACATGGACAACCGAAACATCTGCTTATGGAGAAAAAGCCTGACGACCCTAGTTCTGGCTCGGGGTCAAGTTTTCTGCAGGGAAGATGCTTAAAGAAGGCCTTTACTGCTCATGGTTGAATTATCCAAGCAGACAGTGAGTATTGAAAACAGGGGCACTAAGACCTTTGGTGAGAATGTCTGCAAACTGTTCACCAAAAGACACAAACTAAACCAGAAGCTTTTTGCTAGCAACTTTTTCTCTGACAAAGTGCACATAATTTCAATGTGTTTAGTCCTCTAATGGTGTACAAGATTAAATGACAATGCTATAGCTAATAGATTGTCACATAACGAAACAGAAGGATTAGGCAACTTAATCTGTAAGAAACCAAGTAATTCTTGAACTCAATCCAATCATGCAATTGTGAAAAGGCCTCGGTAGAAGTTCTTCTAATTGTTTGATGTTTCTTTGAAGATCATGAAATTGGATTATTGCCCAAAAACACTACTAACCTAGTGGTTGATCTTTTGTCCTTTGGGTTACCAACTCAATCTGCATCACTGAATGCCTTAAGATACAAGTCACATCCGCTATACTTGATACCATAAGATACAGTACCTTTGAGGTATCTGAGTATTCTCTTCATATCAAGAAACTATGAAACCTTTGGTTCATGCATGAACTGACAACCTGATGCACATATAAAACAATATCAGGCTTCTATATAGTTCAGGATTATTAAAGGGTTGTTCATCATCCTTGAGAAGTCTATTATAAGTCAGACAAGGAGTAGCACATTGTTTAGACTCAGCCATCTTATTTTTCTGTAGAAGATCCTTAATATACTTTAAAGACCAAAGGAAGGGTGTGTTGTAGAAATTCTCCCTTGTGTTGCTTTCTCCTCCAGTCGAGAAGGAGAGCTATTATTTCCCTTTTTCCCTTTAAAAATCTGATTGTCATTTGCTTTGAGAATCCTTGAATTAGAATTGGTGGAAGTAGGAAAAGTGAAAGTATCTTATTGCATGTTAAAGCTCTAAAGTTGAGCATGAAGTGCTTGATTAAAGTCCTCAATTAACTTTGGACAAAGGTTTGGCTTGTGTAGTATTTTGTACAAGTAGAAATTAATGGTTTTTCTTAGCTATAGATAAGAAAGACGAACACCGTGGGAGCTGAACACCATCAAATTCTGTTGAGGTAGAAGTTTTAACCATAAAAATATTTGGGTTTTCTTCCTGTTCGATAGATAACCGTTGGTGTTAGTACTTGACCAGTCACCACTCATAATGTTCCAAAATTAATAAATTAGCTTTCCTTGATTATAATTAGGGAAACGATATAGGCACACTCAAATTATTTTATTTTTATTTTTTACAGCACACCCATGTTTATTTGGGCATTTAATTCTCTTTTTATTTGTTCAGTTTAAAAGCCAAAAATAAACGTAAGTGTATAAAAAGGAGCAAATACATTTATGAAAATAACTTCTTTTTACAATTTGTCATGGGTCAAGTTGATTGAGAAAGTCTTCTAACAAGGTCAAGGTAAGGCAATAAGGGGCAAAAGTGGCCTCAGCTTGCATTGTTGGCATGAAAGAAAAACGTGACATGGTTTGGGCTGCATCTTGCTCTTAAGAAGAAATTTTGCTAGATCCACCACTGATCCCAAATACCATATCCTCTGCTCTCTACTTTCGAGTGTCATTCCAAAAAGCATAAATTTTATGAGTATATTCTTGTTGGCGTAGTTTGTTATATTACGGTTGCGTTTATTGCATTAGACTATTTCGGACTGGACTAGTTTCAGGGATTAAGCTAGATTGGCTTAGCATGGACAAGTAGTATAAGAATAATGATGCGTTTGATACAATGTCAGACTAAATTATTTTTGGGATTCAAATCCACTTAACCCAGATCAGAGTTCTTCCCAAAAATAAATTGTTGTAGCTGGATTCAGAGGAATGCCGAGAATTTGGTGATGGGTATTCCGAGACAATGAGAGATTTTGGCGACGAGTTCAATATAGGCGAGGTGTCGGGATCCGTCTAAAACCATCCCATCAAGCATGCATGAAACTTTCCAGCATGACGTTGATTTAGGTGACGAGTTCGGTTTGGGCGAGGTGTTGGAGTTGGCGACGAGGGTGATTTGGGCGACGAGGGTGATTTTTGCGACGAGCCATCGCAAACGATGCATGAGAGACTAGGTTCGAGGGACTGTTTGCAGACGAGGGAGACAGAATAAGTAATCTCGTAGTTTTTTTTGGGGTCTGGCTAAGACCTCCCAATGAGGGATTTAGTCTAGGCGAATCCTTCTTTATCCCATTAAACTTAATCTTGCCTCTAACAGACACACGCATACACTAATATGTAATTCATTTCAGACCAATAAAACTTAACGAGTCCAAACAAACGTGTAAGTTGAAGGAATGAAATCGTTGAAATGCGAGATCCCACATGGAAGAAGTGCACAATAATTTAGCTACAGTTGAAAAGTAGGTGATAACATTTTTATTGCACAGAACTTAAGACTTTTTAAGAAGAGACTCCATATCTGCTCGTCACAAAGCAACAACTAACTAGCCAACAGTCAAAGTCAACACAAATATTCTCAAAGTTTAGCAAACTTTGAGAAAGAAAAAACAAGTCGGTGTTGGAGTGTTGACATTGGTGGAGCCACTAAAAAGCCACAGTTGACATTGACAACCTAGCCAAGCTAAACACATAAAACTAAACAGACGCAGATACAGCCTCCCCAGTCCCCACCCATGTATTGGTTTGTTATTTCTTTTTATTTGCCATGTTGCCATGCATGCAGGCGCACTAATAGAGATTAACATCTTGCATTTTACAAATTAACATTCAAAAACCTCTCTTGATAAGGATAACAAGTTTTAGTTCATGCTTCACTTTTAATATCTATGGATCAAATTCACGACTACAAGTTATGTACATCAATAAGAGAGTAATTAGTAGCAGGTAAACTGTAAATGTAGTCGTTTTGTTTCAATAAATTCAACGATCGAAAAGAAAGTATGAAACAAACTGTAACTTCAAGATGCCTTATGCAGAGGCGAACGCACGAAGGGGCAAAGAGGGTCAACTGACCCTTTGAACTCTGGCGAATCTCTATGGATAATTTGGGTGCTCCCCCTTTGAAGGTTGGAGTTGTCTTTCATATATATCTTCCAACAATTTGACAAAATACCTTAAAAAAGAGTTGCTCTTTTTATTATTTTCTTTTAAATATTACCCGGTCTTCATACATGTGTAATTCGTAATTACATTGATTTTGGTTCTTCTGGTTGCTACTATTTCAATGGAGAGAGTCCTTCTCGTTATGAATATTATGAAAAATCTGGTGTGTAACCAAATAGGAGATCAATGGTTAAATGATAACATAATGGTTTATATTGAGAGCAATGTTTTTTCTTCAATTGACAACAAAGTTATAACGCAACGTTTTCAAAATAAGAAAATGCGTCGTGGACAACTGTAACTTGTATTATTAATTTTTTCTATAAGTTATGAATAATAGAACTATGATTTAATTTTTAAGATTATTATTATTATATGTCTAAGAAATACTTCTAAACTTTTACATGTAACCCTCCACACTATGCTTTATGTGCATATTATTATATGAATACAAAAAATAAACCTTGTACTTGAAATTAATATCTTCTTGTGAAAAATACTAAAAAGTTAAAAGTCCACGTAGGATAGAGTGAATATTCAAATCAAAGAAATTAATAAAATAATAATAAACTAATTAACAATATATGGAAAGGCAATACCGCGTGCGGGTCGATGCCGCTTAATTCTCGGCAATGTCGCTCTCCGACGCCCGAGATTGAACCTGTAGCCGTAAGCCACGCTCCCTTTTCATCTCTCCAAAATCCAAATCCCTCAATTTTCCCCAATTCCCCCAATTTTCTCTTCCTCCTTCCCTCCCCTCACACAAATGACAGCTTCCCAGCTCCCCAAACCCAGCTGCAACACACAGGTACTCTAAAATTTCAAATTTTTATCTCCAGTTCTGTTTGCCTTTTCCATTTTTTTTTTTTGGATTTTGATCGGTACCCATCTCAGTTTTAAGCATGCCCGCTTGGAATTTGTTCTGTATTTGATCTGCTTAGCTCTAGTTTCAACATGTTGATTGTAATTTGGATGACATGGGATTGTTTTAAATGATGGGTTCTTAGGGAAATTGTGTTCTGGATCTGTGACTGTGCAGGAAATGATGGATTATTAGGGGAAGTTGTGTTTGTTCTTGTTGGATGGTCTCAGCTTCTTCTAGTCCAGCATGCAAATGATAATTCCTTTCGTGTTTGTGATTAGATATGTTGAAATTGAATAAAATACATATAGATAGTGGGATTCTTTTTTCTGTATAGATGGGTGGAGTTTCGCGGTTTCAGTTTGGTGATTTGATCATAGAGATACTATATTATTATTTGATTATGGAAGTATAGGGAGATAATGTACATGATTTCTGAATTTGATTGTGGTTTTTGCCAAAGGATTCGTTGTAATGGAAAAAGAAGTATTAGAGTAGAAGTTTTTTTTGGTATGAAGAGTGACTTGTATGCCTGGTCTTAACTTGTCACTTTGAAGGAGAGTTTCTGGTAGCTGAGTGATCATTCGTATGCAGCTAAGTATGTCCAAGCACTTGTTTGATACCATGACCAATGAGGTGCCTGGCACATCAGGTCAATGGATCCAGAAAGAAGCGACTTTTGTTGTCCCAAACACAGTAAAGAATGTACATAAGAATGTTTCTGTACAGACAGGTGAGGAATTTTCTATGGAGTTTCTTCAGGATCGTTCTGCAGCGAGAAGAGTTCCTGCTGTGACTGATATGGTTGAGAATCGCGAAAATGGGGATGGGTTGAATTATAATCAGAATAATCGGCTGGGATATCAGGATCTTACTGATCTTCTGGGGTTGAGGAGAATGGATTCCGAGTGTGCATCTGATACGTCTGACTTTATCTCGGCAAAAGGGTCCAGTAAAGATATTGAAAGCGAGGCTTGTCTTGACAAGTTAGGCAGATGCAACAGGGAGGAGGTTGATAGCGGACAAGGATCAAGGAAGGCTTTTGGAGAACTGAATGTTGACAGAGCTGGGTTTGGACCAACTGCCTTACCTATGTATATGTCTGAGTCCCATCTTTCCAACACTGTTAATGGTTCAGGAGCATTGGATGGTTCTCAATCTGGGAAGATGAAGTTTCTTTGCAGTTTTGGTGGAAAAATTTTGCCCAGGCCTAGCGATGGGAAACTCAGATATGTTGGGGGGGAGACGCGCATTATTTCCTTCAGGAAAAGTATTTCATGGGAAGAGCTTGTGAAGAAAACTTTCAGTTTTTGCAACCAACCTCATACAATCAAGTACCAGCTCCCAAGCGAGGATCTTGATGCTCTTATATCCGTTTCTTCTGATGAAGATCTTCAAAATATGATAGAGGAGTACCATGGCCTCGAAAGGCATGAGGGTTCTCAGAGACCTCGAATCTTTTTGATTCCGTTAGGTGAATCTGAAAACACATCTTCCTTTGAGGCAGATAGCATACATCAAAGTAACCCTGATTACCAATATGTTGCAGCTGTAAATGGCATGATAGATCCTAGTCCTAGGAAAAACATTGGAGGTAAGAATTCGACTACTGAAGCAAGTCAACAGGGAACCAAGACTGTCCTATTCCCTATGGAAATTAGGAGTGATTTTAAAGCTTTGCATCCTAATCAAAATTTAAGTGAACCCCAGGATATGACTCGGTCTCCCATTCAGTCTTCCTTTTCTCCCATTCTGCATCAGCAAGGAGATTCCAAGGGTGTTCATTTACAATCACATGGTCTAAACTCATGCCAGGGCAGTAATGAGAGTAGCAGTTCTTTTATAAGTGCTCAACCACCACAAGATAACTCCAGCAATAGCACGGAAGGTTATAAAATTCATCCACAGGGGGCAGTAACTCTTATGGATTATCACCACCCTTGTAAGCAAGCTGATGATGGACAACTGGGCCTATACCATGGAGGACATAGTCTCAACCACAATCCCAGCAAAGATCCCATGTCTACTTTAGTTGTCGGTCAAAATGTTGGTGATTTTGATGGATTCTCCCATGAGAGGCCAGTGCAGAAGGAAAGAATATTCTCTCCTGAGCTTGTCTCACACCAAGAAGATTCAAAGAATATGTTGTCAGGATCTAATGATTACGTTGATTGTCATCCTGGCATGCATCATGCATATTCTGATTCAAAACTGCAAGAGAATGGAAGGAGGTCTGTATATTGTTCACAAGAAGGAATAAGCCCACCGTCCCCCTTAATTTTTGCAAAGGCTCAATCATCATTGCTGCTAAACTCAGTTATTTCTCAAGAAAAGCCGACTCTACTGCATGACAATATTGAATCTTTGAATCCTAGGTTACACAATCAGTTACATGGTACGGAGTCGATAGGATTGCGCAGCAGACTGGATTTGCCAAATTCATCTCCATGTTTAGAATCACTGGGCAGGAATGAAGATTCTCCCAAATGTAATGATTTTCATGAAAAATGCCGGACAGCTAAACAGAAAGATTCTTTGACTTTGGAGCAGACGAAGAAGGTCAATCAAAAGGATCCTTTCTTACATCAAGATGAAACCCTTTATGGGACAAGATCACCTGCCACTGAAGTTGATTATCGGAATGGATTTCCTAATATAATCCCCGAACCATCATCTACTTTTGCCCCTGGGGTTGTTCCTGCAGCAATTAATTTACAACCGTTGGTAAACAAGAAGGTGGAGGATTCACAAAGCTTCCAGGGTGACAAAAGCCCTGCCGATCTTCTTGTCACGAGTCAAAGAACTGCCAATGATCAGGACTGTGCTTTGGCAGTGATGCCTAGTGGTGAAAAAGGACATGATGTTTCAGGGGCCAGGAATTCTGAAGTTGCAGGCATATTTCCAAGTACTAAACAGCATTCTCGTGATGAAAATTCTTTGGCTGATCTCATCTCAGGGTTGTCCAATGGCCAAGTTTCCCATGAGCCTGCACGACCAGAACTTGTTGCAAGTCAAAAGGATATGCGTTTCCAAGAACCCCTGCATATGAACTCTGCACATGTGCACCCAGTGACAGTTCTTCATGATCCTGTACTGGAAAAGAGTGACCACATGGTGTTGCATAAGCCAGTCCAAGATGTTGCGTTTAAAAGACAGGTCTCTCTTCTTGATGATGGCTTTGTAAATTACCCTGATAAGAATGCTGAGAAGTTGAGCTCAAATGTCGAAGATGTTAGTTTGGCACCAACAAAACCCCCAACAATGAGGAATGATAAAAAACAGTTGGAGTCAGTGAAAATTGTGGAAGACATAACGAACGGTATTACTTCTGGCATTCAGTCTTCATCACCAGTTTCCCCATATGCTGTGGACGAACCTGTTGTTGATCTCATATCTCCTACTGCAACAGAGGTGGAAAGCGTCAATGAAGACTCTGAGTATGAGGTAAAATTGATGAAGTTTGTATCTGATTTGCAAGTTATGTATATACTTGTAGAGTTGAACTTTGAATTACTGTTTGCGTTATTTGTAGGATGATAAGGCTGATGAAGAAGACAAAAATGAATCATTTAGTGATGCAATGATTGCTGAAATGGAAGCCAGCATCTATGGCTTGCAGGTATTCCGCTGATGTCTTAAGTTTCTTGTTTGGAACATGTTTTTGTTTATTATAGTACACAAGTTTACATCTGCTGACTGGAGTCCCCGCTGCTGCCAGCTTATGTTGCAGCATTCTATATATAAAAAAAAAATTCTTGAAGAGGTTTCTTGCTGTGGGTCAATTTTGAGGATACCAATCATTGTATTAATTGAAAGGTCTTATCATTTATTTCTTCAAAGAAGAAAGAGTTCATTGTTTTTTAAATTCCCTTGAAAAAGTATAGCATCTGATGATTATATATGATGGGATTGTCTCTTGGTAAATGCAATGATTCTCATTTCAATGTTTCTCGAGTCTCCTAAATCCCTAATGAGAACAGATGGCTCTTGCTCCTCTTGCCTCTTAAGAGCATAGATATGTAGTCTGTATGGAGAGATTTTTTCACTGATAACAATGGGATGTGTTGCAGACAACAATCACTCATGTGCTTATAAACTTCTCATATGTGTGTAGATAGTAGTATTGTGTCGCTCCTTGAGATAATAGTATTACTAAAATGCTCTCTGATTTGTAAATAGATCAGTTTCCAGCATTTTTTTGGGAATTTACGAAAGTTCAATTTCTTTATGCAACTGAATTTTCTAAATGTGATCCAGATTATAAAAAATGCTGATCTTGAAGAATTAAGGGAATTAGGATCTGGTACATATGGAACTGTTTATCATGGAAAATGGCGGGGAACAGATGTTGCTATAAAGCGAATAAAAAAGAGCTGTTTTGCAGGAAGATCATCAGAGCAAGACCGACTGGTGGGTTTCCTGAACAAATTTGTTTTGTTATTTTTCCCAGTACCTGCACAGTTGGTGTTGAGAAAAGTTAACATCTGTGGTTGTTTTATTGACAATAACTCGTGACATTAAATGTTTGAGTAATATGACATTCTGTGGCTTCTAGCATCTATTGTAACATACACCTTCTGCCTTCAAACAAGTGTATCATTTTTATCTGGAAAATACTGTGTACCTTATGGACAATCTGTAAATTTCTGTGAATATTTGTAATTTTCATTTGACACACATGTGAAGTTGATTGTTCATTTGGGTTGTATTAGACAAAAGACTTCTGGAGAGAGGCGCAAATCCTTTCAGCTCTCCATCATCCAAATGTGGTTGCATTCTATGGAGTAGTACCTGATGGAGCTGGAGGAACGTTGGCAACTGTAACTGAGTACATGGTGAATGGATCACTGAGGCATGCCCTACTAAAAAAGGATAGGTAATTTTTCTATCATTTCTTTTCCTTTTTGCTTCTTAAAGTTTTTATGTATATCTTAGAACATGGAATTCCTATGCAGATCACTTGACCGTCGTAGAAAGCTTATAATTGCCATGGATGCAGCTTTTGGCATGGAATACTTGCATTCAAAGAATATTGTCCATTTTGATTTAAAGTGTGACAATCTGCTAGTCAACTTGAGGGATCCTCAACGACCTATATGCAAGGTAAGTTAATCTGGAACCAAGTTTCATGTTCAGGGATTGACATAAAAGCTCTTTATTAGAAAGCATTTTTCTTTGTAGTCCTTATACAATTCCGGAGACCTTGAAATTCCTTAAAGCGGAATTGGGAAATTTTATAAAACTAGGTTGACTATTATGGTGCCAAAAGTTTCCCGGCTGATGCAATTGGGTAGATCCAGTGGGAGTTTTCTTTTCTCTTAAATGGAGGGTAGAAGTCAGAAAGTGATCATTTTTGTATGGGGTGTGATATCCACACACCTTTTTTTTACTTCTCACACACTTTTTTAATTTTCAGCCGTCAGATAGGATGAGTTGAAGAAGATCAAAGGATAGAAATTAACAAAGGGTGTTTAAGAAGTAAAAAGACGTGTGTGGATAGCACACCCCTTTTTGTATCCCTTGTGGAACCTTTTATGTGAAATTTTTGCCACATATCAAAATGTTTCATTCATTACTGTATTTTTTTCCCTGGGGACTTGGATAAAAGATTTTTCTTTAATGCTGATGATTGGGAATTGATCTTTTAGGTTGGAGATTTTGGTTTATCGAGAATCAAACGCAATACTTTGGTATCTGGTGGTGTGCGAGGAACTCTTCCTTGGATGGCACCAGAACTGTTAAATGGCAGCAGCATCCGGGTTTCTGAGAAGGTTAGTATGACTATATATATATATATGTCAGCAATGTTGAAGGCAAAGACAATTGTTTGTTTTGTAATTAACGCTATGGTATTAATTTTGACAGGTTGATGTTTTCTCATTTGGAATTTCAATGTGGGAGATCTTGACCGGGGAGGAACCATATGCCAATATGCATTGCGGTGCCATCATTGGTAAGTTTATGTCATGGACCTAATTATCAATATCATCGGTACTGATGGCGAATAAAATGAAGAAATTTCGTTGGCTGAAAAATCTCATTGGATCTGTTTTAAATATCTTTCCCCTGCTTGCTTTGAATTAGGATCAACATGGATACTTCGAATTTTTATATTAATTTTTCAACTGATTGCAAACTTGTGAACGAAGGTGGAATTGTGAAGAACACTCTTCGACCTCCTATTCCAGAACGTTGTGATTCTGAGTGGAAGAACCTGATGGAACAGTGCTGGTCACCTGATCCTGACATCCGTCCATCATTCACCGAGATAACTAACAGGTTGCGAGCTATGTCCAACGCACTTCAGGCGAAGGTACCTAGCAATCAGACAAGCCAGATAAAGCCCAATGTTTGACATTCTTGCCAGGTACCAGAATTATATGATATCTCCAACGGAAACCCTTCCGGTCGATGATCAAAACTTTGACGGCGATCAATTCATCCCCACAATTCGTCGGTGTATTGATTTGCTCTTCTGTTGATAAGAGACTACATAATTTTTTTATTCTTTTGTAAAATAACACCGGGTCATACTAGCATGCTGGGAAGAGGCGATCGACAGTTTTTCTGCTAAGTTTGGTGTCAATGTATTTTTGCTGGAGAAACGATTGTCCATATGTATATATTATATACACAGAAATCAAATGATAGGACTTTGTCTGGTTTTCCTTTTACCTTGTCCCTTTTCTCTTATTGATTTATAAAATGTGCGTTCACCAACCTTTGATGACGATGGCTCTTCGTCTAGGAGATATATGTACAAATAAAACTGGCTATAAAATTTTAATAAAAATAGAATCGGAGTGACACTAATAGACAATTAAAGAGTACTTAACCGTGTTATATATGGCTTGTTGTCTATTTATTGTGCCCTAGTTTCGATTTTTAATTAAACATGTGATCTAATATGAGTTGTGTTCCAACCCATGCGTCATCTAAACTCCTCATTTCGAACCCTCCTCTCCTCTTAATAATAATACTTTAAAAGAAAAAAAAATTATATTTTTTGAGAAAGGAGTATGGAAAACGAAATTGCACGGCAGCCCTTAGTCAATGATTTTGGCCTCATGTGGATTCACACCCACCAAAGGTAATGTAACGACCCGTTTTAAAATTACGAAAATACCCCTAACTAACGGAATTGTGGACTTTTGTTGACCTTTGGTTGCCGACATTTTAGAATTTTTCTCATATTTTATTCTTGTATCACTCGTCGAACAAGGCAAAAATGGATTTTACTCTTGGTCTCAGTGGAAAAACGTGGCAGTTGTTGGTTCGTTGTATTTTCCTAGAAGAATGAAAAAGCAAAAATGGATATGTTTATTAGAAAGCATTTTTATTCATCATCTAGTGTATATTTAATATCTTATTTATCATCGTTATATGAATTTGAATTTTAAGATTTGTGTAATGGATAAACATAAATCTTAAAATTTAAACTTATCTAACAATAATAAATAAGATGACGAACATGCATCATAACTAAATGATGATGGGCAAAAATACACTCAAGTTTGCTGTGGTTGGTTTCAGTGAAAAACGTGGGAATTATTGTGGTTGGTGGCTTTACTCGTGGTCTTCTGAAACGGAGTATAATATTAGGTAGCATCAGCCCTTCCGTTTCACAATTTGACTAAGTGGGTTGGCGTCTTTGGTAAGTCCTTACTTGGAAATTTCAAGGTTCGATCTTATCAATCATAATCCTATAAATTCCCACAAACCGCTGCATATTTTTTGCTGCTCCACAAATTGTACTGATCAAGGAGAGCTTTCTGCATTCCATTTTCTAGAGAGAGAAAGAGAGGAGGGAGAGAGAGAGAGAGATGGATAAAGCACTTAACAGACAGAAGGTTGTGCTTCAGCATTTGAGACCCAGTTCTTCCGTCTCTTCTCCAGATTATGAATCTGCTGCTCTCTCTGTAAGTTTATCCACTTTCTTTTCAGTTCACTTCTTAATTTTGTAAATATTTTTGCTTTGTATTATTCAGCTGATTTTAATTTTATTTTAATTTATTTCTTCTGAAATGGTTTGTTAGGCTTCAACATGTGCAGCTGGGGATAGTGCTGCATACCATAGAACATCTGCTTTTGGAGACGATATTGTGATTGTGGCGTGAGTAATTTAAAATTTTAAACTGATTTGATGAAGTTATTAAATTTTTCTTATTTGTATCTTTGTATGGAATTTGTAATAAAGTTGATAGCTTTAAAGCTTCTCTCTATTGAATCTTGCTGCAAAATCATGTTACATAGAGCCTACCGGACTGCCATTTGCAAGGCGAAGCGTGGCGGTTTTAAGGACACTATGCCTGATGATTTACTGGCGCCTGTTTTAAAGGTTAGATACAGTTCCCAACTTAATTGCAGAGAAATGAATGTGTTTCTACAAATTGTGAATGTATTACCCCCTGACCCCTACGCAGCCGAGTTTGAATCTTCGTTCTCACAATTTGGATTAGCTTAAAGTAGAGTATCGCATGTACAAATAGAAAGGGGGATTGGATATTGACATCTGGTGTGCTTTTTATGCAGGCAGTGATAGAGAGAACAAATTTGAACCCAAATGAGGTGGGGGATATAGTTGTTGGTACAGTTCTGGCACCTGGCTCACTTAGAGCAATTGAATGCAGGATGGCAGCGTTTTACGCTGGCTTTCCAGGTAAGTTTTTAGCTTTAATTGATGTTTTGGAGGCCCTTCTTTGTGTTTGGTTTGGCTTATAGTGTGATGGTTTGTTGGTTTTGTCCAGATACGGTTCCCATTAGAACTGTTAACAGGCAATGTTCATCTGGCCTTCAGGCAGTTGCTGATATAGCTGCTGCTATAAAAGCAGGATATTACGACATTGGTGAGAAAAACTCTTGATTATGCATGCATCTAATTAGCCGCTAGGTGGTCTCCATCAATGGACTTGATCTGTGTTTTGAATGCAGGCATTGCAGCTGGATTGGAGTCCATGACAGTTGACAACATTAGTGGATTAAGTAAAGTTAACCCTAAAGTATAATCTAACTCTCCTTGTTTACTTGATAGTTTTGTTTACGTGGTGTTATTTTGAACTGATGTATGTTGTCAATAGGTGGATATCTTTGCACAAGCACGCGACTGCGTTCTTCCCATGGGTGTGACTTCTGAAAATGTTGCCGAGCGATATGGTGTGACTCGGGAGGAACAAGACAGAGCCGCTGTGAGTTTTCTGTCTGTTTTAAGTTAAAACATGCATTAACTGTTCGATAAACTGGTAATGCTGAATCTGTAATTCCATGAATGTTTGTGAACAGGTAGAATCACATAGGCGTGCTGCTGCAGCCGCAGCATCCGGTAAATTCAAAGATGAAATTGTCCCTGTATCTACTAAGGTAAATATAAAAATGTGCTCCCTTTATTTGTGAAGAGTTCTACATAAGTAAAATGGTATTTTATTTTCTTGTAATTGGTTATTTGTATCATCAGATTGTGGACCCAAAAACTGGAGAGGAGAGGCCTGTTACAATTTCTGTGGATGATGGGATCCGTCCAAATGCAAACATGAACGATTTGGCTAAACTAAAGCCTGCATTCAAACGAGATGGTTCTACAACTGCAGGTATTTTGTCACTCAATTATCATAAAGCTTGCTGGTGGTTATGCAGGACAGTTTCTTCGTTTAATTTTACACAACTTTTTCGTCTTTTTTAAACTTGCTTCAAGCATTGTGAATCAGTTCATTGCTTTTGTCTTTCAGGAAATGCTAGCCAGGTGAGTGACGGTGCTGGAGCAGTCCTCCTTATGAAGAGAAGTTTAGCTATGCAGAAGGGACTTCCTATTCTTGGTGTTTTCAGGTATGGCGTTGATTATTTTTGTTCAATTTAATTGCTTGACTTCCTATTCTCGAGTTGACTTTATAGTACAGATACTGCAAATTAATAGTGAAGAACTCTAATTATTAAGAAACCGAAAATTGAGAGATGGGCTGGTAGAGGTTTATCCATTCTTAATATTTCTTTTCATTGGTAATGTTGTTAATTTCCTTGAGATGGATATGTTCAAGAATTAGCTAAAGCTTTCTTTGTACTTTGGATACAACTTTATGATCTCTGTGCAGGAGTTTTGCTGCTGTTGGTGTGGATCCCGCTGTCATGGGAGTTGGTCCAGCTGCTGCAATTCCGGTAGCAGTGAAGTCTGCTGGTCTTGAGCTTGATGATATAGATCTATTTGAGATAAATGAGGTAATGCATTGCTATTGATTTCTGTAAGCTTCAAGATGAATTAGCTTATCTTTGAAGATTTTGACTAAGCAGTTTTATTGGTTTCATTTAGGCATTTGCATCTCAATATGTATATTGTATCAAGAAATTGGAGCTTGATCCTGAGAAAGTCAATGTTAACGGAGGCGCTCTTGCTCTAGGGCATCCTTTAGGTGCTACAGGTATACGAACTGACGAATTAAATTAGAATCTTATCTTAAATTTCTGCAATAAACTAAAGCTGATATGTTTTGACACAACTACTCGTTCACTGTGTCATCTGAGGCGAATATTGTATTTGTTTTTGTGTGCTAGGTGCTCGCTGTGTTGCAACTCTCCTGAATGAGATGAAGCGCCGTGGCAAGGATAACCGCTTTGGTGTGATCTCCATGTGCATAGGTATCCTTTTGCGCTCTTCCGTCTAATATAACTATGAACTAAGGTAGAATATTGAGGGCTTGATACGAGAATAAGAAACGCGACTGTGTGTGTGTCCTTGTTGCAGGCTCAGGTATGGGGGCTGCTGCAGTTTTTGAAAGAGGGGACTCAGTTGATGAGTTAAGCAATGCTAGAGCTGTCTAGAGGAACAGTATTTTGCCAAACGAAGTTACATAGCGCATCTTGGTAAATTTTGTTGGTTCATCAAAATAAATACCCCACAGGGATGTATTTTGAAACCTAATTAAGGGCTGGTTTGGTATTGCTGTATTTTGAAAAAAAACTGCTTCTACTGTGCTGTGAGAATAAGCAGCTATGAAATAAAGCAACAGAGTGTTTGGTAAACTTTTATGTAAAACAGATGTGAAAAAAAGTCGGTTTTTCAAAGCTGGGTTTTGTAGCTTTTTGTTTTTGGCATTTTTTCATCCAAAACTTTGAAAAAAAACTGAAGCTGAATGTTTACCAAATACAAAAACAGCTCCCAGCTTTTAGCTTTTTTTTTATACCAGCTTTTTTCAGAATCATCTCAGTACCAAATCAGGCCTAATAAAGCTTCACGGCTTTTTTTTTTTTCTGTTATGTTTTTGTTCTTATCGATTCATGTTTCTTTTGAATGACCTGGTCTCCACGTTTACTTTGATTTTTAAGGGGTTTATATATTTTCTGTAAATTCCCAAAACCAAAACAAAACGTTCAAGCATTTAAATCACAATGTTGTGTACCGATATGCTCTACCGTACCTACTTAAAAAAAAAAGAACAATAAAAAGAATTGAGAACGATTCGTAACCATTACGTAAATCTAGGGTTATAAAGTCCTAGATGAATGAAGATGAGGTTGTACCAATTCAGATAAGATATGTGGACTCGAAAACAAATTGGAACTTCAATCCTAATTGTTCAAAAGTTGCCGATTGTTTTTCCACTTCACTATTCTTTTATCTAGGTCTCGTTCCATCTTTTTTCCTCTTCCAATCCACTCTTTCGGCTACCATGGTTGGTGGGTAAAAGAA